TGCAGGCTGTCGAGGACGCGGAGGACCTCCGCTGTGTTGCGACCGGTGCTAGCGGGGTATGAGAGGATGAGGCGGATGGTCTTCTTGGGGTCGATGATGAAGACTGAGCGGATAGTGAAGGCAATGCCCTTGCTGTCGACGTTGGTCGCGTCTTGGTGGTCGATCCTGTTTATGTCGTTAGCCGTGTCGCGGGTCGTAGGTCGCAAAGAATCTCCACCTACATGTCGTATGCCAACGCGATCTGGCGGTCCTTGTCGCCAATGATGGGGAACTTGAGCTTGCTGCCGGAGATCTCGTCAATGTCCTTGATCCAGCCATCGTGCGAGTCGACGGTGTTGGCAGAGAGACCGATGAGCTTAGCACCGCGACGGCTGAACTCGGGCTCCAGCTTTGCGAAAGCGCCGAGCTCAGTTGTGCATACTGGGGTGTAGTCCTCGGGATGCGAGAAGAGGATGACCCAGTTGTCGCCGATGAACTCGTGGAAGTCGATGGGGCCCTGGGTGGTCTCGGCCTTGAAGTTGGGGGCCTTGCTGCCCAGGCGGAGAGGCTCTGGTCGGTCGCTCATTGTGTCTTTTGCGCCCATGTTAGCTCAGGTCCCAGCGGCGCAAACATGCGGGGTGGCGGGGTAGGTCGCAAGCAGCAAACGTACCTGGATATATGATTTAGCGTTTGAGTGAGGTTGCGAAAGATATCGAGGTATCTTGTAGATGCAATTTGGGATGTTGGAGCGGTATTATGAGGGAGAGAAGAAGTTGAGGGGTCGATGATGCCTTTTTGTCCTCTTGTAAGGCCATACACAACATTCAACGACCAACACTTCCAGCTAGCGTATATTGCGCAATCGTCACCTATCTCACGTGAACTCCACCAGAGCTTTTTCTGCCATTGAATTTGCCCACGTCCAACGGCCAGCGGGCGAATCATAGACGCAACATCTCCGGCGGTATCGCTTTGCCAATTGTTGCCCCTCCTGCCCAGCATTCGTCGCAACCGGAAGCAGGGAGAAGCCAATGATGATGTTATTGGTGATTTCTCAGCGATATCCTTACTTGCCAGAATTCAAATAAGCTCCGAACCACATCACAGCGCTCGCAGAGGTTCCAATGACAGACATGGCGTTTGCTTGATCCAATCTCTCGGTAGCTTTGTGCATCAAATGCGCGCATTGTCGGTTTGCCGTGTGAGACTGGGTGGTCTGTATGCAATTGCGACATAGGAGTACAGTAGCCTCCATTGATATCGAGGCGGAATGTTTGGCTGTGTCGCTCAACCGAACGACTGGGGAAGTCGAGCTCTTCCAACAAAGTGCGCTTTCACAAACATTAGCACCAGCTGGCGGTGCGGAGGTTACGCGAAACGCTTCGGAGGTGGGTAGCTTCATGGCGGCAGGAATTTTCGTGACTGCCGCCTGAACACGCCGTTCACACGCGTCGCGCGAACTTTATTGTCGCGCGACGTCACGCTTTGCAGACACGGCGAGCAGCCACCTGACTACACCTCCATATGTTACACACGCGCTCCAACGTCGCTACTCCCTCCTAGTTCAGCTTCAAATCGGCAACCTCGGCAGGGTCCTACTTTCTTCTCGCCTGAAGCCTCTGGCCTCAAAGTGAAATTGGGCCGAACTTCCGAGCCGGAATCCTCTATTGTACCCACTCGGCGACTCATCAAGGACACGATGCATCTTTGTGCTGGTTATCGCAGGATTGAGTGACGATGAGGCTGCTTGCTTTTGCCCAGGTGCCGATACTTCCCGCCGATGATGTCGGGGAGCCATTTGCTTGTCCGAGTCGAGACGCCTTTGCTTGAGGCGCGCCATACTCCTTCCCGCATGACGCACCGGATCTACCCTGTTCTGCACGCGCTCCAGCAGCCAGAGACTTCGAGGCGGCCTTAGCATGTCGGTGTACACGATAAAATCCAAGTTTACCCCGAAGCGGGACGCCCCCATGCATGTGGGCCTGGAAGATAGAGAAGGAGTCCTATTCCCGACCAATGCAAACGACTTCTAAGAATCCCGTCGGGAGAGAACCGGGCGTCCCACACCGTCCAGTTGTTCGTTGGGATGCATATCGGCTACGCCTGTGGTTTAGCGGACCAGACCTAACCGCCGCTTAAGCTATGAAGGTCGCGCTTTCCAGCGTCACCGGGTTTACGCTTGCGTTTAGATTCTGACGCGTTCATTGCGAAACCCTCGGCGTAGCTCTTCGACATATCAATAGAAGAGAAGGACCTTATGGCAGCATGAGTGCTAATCCGGAGATCAACCTCGTCAAGGACTCTGAGCTTGGAGAGTGCGCAGATTCAAAAAGCCAAGCGGGAATAAGCATATTGCCGGACATGCGCAGACCTTCCGCAGAGGAACCGAGGAATCGAAATTCCACAGCGGAACCAGACAACGACCCAGAGACAGACTACTACTATGGAAAACAAAGCACCAGTAGCGAGTTCATACCGCAAGAGAACGTGCAGGACTCAGAAATCGTTTGGCGTTATCTCACATTCGACACCGAACTCCCACACGCGACCACGATATATCCGACACAAACCGACCAAGAAGCGCCACCTGAACCACCGAACCTCGTCAAATACACAAACCCTTTCGATTGGTCAGAGACAAGAAAGAGGTTCACGATATGCGTTTCATGCATCATCACCGCCCTGACTGCGTTCTCGGCTGGAGCATACAGTCCCGGTGTTGAGCAGATGACGCAGGAATGGGGCGTCAGCAGTGTTGCAGCGCTGGTCGGCATCACAACTTTCACGACAGGATTTGCTATCGCGCCCATGGTCCTCGCCCCGTTTTCTGAGATCAACGGTCGCCGGCCAGTCTTCCTCGCTTCGGGCATTTTGTTCGTCATCTGCCAGCTTTGCTCTGGCCTCACGCAGTCATATGCTGGAATGCTCGTCGCGCGCTTCTTCTTGGGCGTGGGCGGATCTACCTTCTCCACTATGGTTGGTGGTGTAGTCTCAGACATCTACCATGCTGAGGATCGGAATACACCCATGGCTCTCTTCTCGGGTGCTGCTCTGTTTGGTACTTCATGGGGGCCTTTGGTATGTGGCTTCATCGCGCAAAACACAACTTGGAGGTGGATCTTCTACGTACAGGCCATCTCATGTGGAGCCGTGGTCGTGCTGATCTGTGTCGTTTTCAAGGAAACCCGCGGCTCGGTTCTCCTGTCCAGGAAAGCCAAAGCTTTGAACAAGTGGTATGAGGCACGCGAGCAGTCCGGCTATTACGGCTTTAATGTCAAAAATACCGAAAAGCCAGGATCCACGGAGTCGCTGCGGTTGAGGTGGAAGGTGCGATCGGATGAAGAACGAGCTTCGCTTGGCAAGATGATAGGCGTCTCTCTCTACCGCCCGTTCCATCTCCTCTTTACTGAACCTGTCGTGTTCTGGTTCTCGCTCTGGGTAGCCTTCTCCTGGGCCGTACTCTACCTCACATTGGCAGCAATCCCGCTAGTATTCCAAAGCAACCATGGCTTCTCCTTGCAACAAGCCAACGCGGTCTTCGCATCCATGGGCATAGCTAGCATTCTGTCGACCATACTTTCTATTTACCAAGAGAAGATCGCGAAGAAGAGTGGGAAATTGACCGGTACACCAGAAGGCCGCCTGTACTTTGCTTGCATAGAAAGCGCATGTATGCCAATCGGTCTCTTCATGTTCGGATGGACAAGCTTCCCCGAGATACATTGGGTTGTGCCAGCAATCGCGATCGGCATCGCTACCGTTGGCATCTTCAGCATCTACCTGGCGACCTTCAATTTCCTCGCAGACACATACCATCGCTATGCGAGTTCGGCACTGGCGGCACAGTCCTTTTGCCGAAACATGCTTGGTAAGTCAAACTCGGTCCACAACCAGTGCATGCATACTAACATCATCTTAGGTGGAATCTTCCCGCTCATCACGACACAAATGTATAACAAGCTTGGGTATGGTCCTGCAAGTAGTCTGCTAGGCGGGATCGGCGCGTTGTTGACTATTGTGCCCTGGATTCTAGTCTTCTATGGACCTAGGATTAGAGCAAGGAGTAAATTTGCAAGTGAGATTATGGATGTCAACTCTTGAAGGACGAAATAGTCTCCAATAGAGTTATCGCATAGCAATGCATTGTTCAACGGATGGAGTGTTCCAAGCATGACTGCTGTCGCTAGATGCAAGTAAGCCTTGGTCGCCAAATTGGGTTAGTCAGATCACCATGTTGCATCAGCTCCGGGGCCGCACCTGGCTGCGAGCCGGCAAACCGCCCACATGGCCAACACAGCCTCACAAGTCAGCCCAGCCAGCACCCACGGAAAGATGCGCACGCACATTTCACCTTCGTCGGAAACCAAAGACATGCATGCGCCCTGCCTTCCGGTCTCCGCCACAGCCTTGAGTGGCGACTAATGGAACTTGCCATAACATCGACATTTAGTGCTACACAATCCCACTGATAACGATGGACGATCTACTTCCATCCTACGAAAGTGTAATGCGACGCGATCCTTGGGTGCTCATAGCTCCCTATTTGCCTTCTCAAGACCTCTGCTCAGCAGCTCTGGTTAACCGACAATGGCACCAGACCTTCACACCGAACCTTTGGGGTAGCCCGGCTTCGCACTTTGGTGTCCAAAATGATACAGTCTATGGTAAGTTACTATGGCGCAAAGATGGCGGTTTACTGATGCCCAGTAGTGGCGCTCACACGATTCAAGCGTACATTACCTTATGCGCGAGCATCCGTACGAGAGCTCACACATACTCTACGCTTCCCACCGGCTCATGCAGAGCTCTATGATGGACCGCATGCAGAATGGCTTCGAGACTGCCTGGAACACTTACCTCGCCTGCAATGCCTGATTGTGGACGGCCTGCCCTTCTTCGATCATGCGTGTCTCCTGAGCCTGCGACATTCAAGCCTACAATGGAGATTGACTCGCCCTCACGCGTTCCCGGTGTTTAGCTTACGCCTGCTCGACGCTTCCAGCTGTTCAAATGCCACATCGATGGGTCTTGCAGAGGCTCTACCGCACTTTCCCGACCTTGTTTCGTTGGATCTATCAAAGACCGCAGCTGCAAAGGACAAGGCAGTCCTTTCGACCTTCAGATACCTCCGAAACCTGCGCGTGCTGAATCTTCGTGGGATTGGTATCAAAGATGAAGAGTTCTCGGTTGTCGCACATGCAATCAGCAGCCGTGTCAGGAGCCTCGATATCAGCAACAACCTTCTGACGGACACTAGCGTACGACTTCTTCTTGAACTATGCCTGAAAGAGAGAGTCGTTGCGTCGCATTCTTCTCGCGGACCACTGGCACCTGTTCAGAACGCGAACCCGACCGAAGGACCAGAGACCTTCGAGTCTGAAAATCTCGTGGGCCATCTTCGTAAGAAGCTCACTGGCGGCTTCATTGGCAGCCTAAGCATTGAGGAAACCAGCGATGTCGGAATATCGCACCTGTACCTCTCGAATAACACAATAACTGTCGAAGGTATATCGGCTTTGCTGCGATCAAGGCGATTGCAAGTTCTAGATGTGGGTATACTACCCGCTGTAGTGACGCATCCTTCAACCGTCTCACTGGACCCACCGAATGATGACTTGGAGCTACCCGGCGTGTCGAAGCTTACCCCAGTACTTGCCGAGAGTGGTTCGAAACTAAGATATCTGAGGATCAACTACGAGTTGATCACAGAAGACGCGCCTTTCGAGGCGACCAATTCGCCACGCGCGGAACTCACCGGGGATCTTGGTATCTACAAACCTTCAGATGCGCATGAGCTTGAAGCTGTGGAGCCACCGACACCTGAGCTAGACTCCATCCCAATAACTGTACACGAGGCTCCTGGGGATTCGTCATTTCCCGTGGAGCTTCCGGGTTCGCCTGTATCGCCTCAATCCGCTAAGATTGACAAGTCACACACAGAACGTGCCGACAGTGACAGGCGAGACGCTACAAGCGTTCCCGAGGTATGCATCAATCCGCAGTCACTGCAAATCAATCGAGATCCTGCCTGCGCTCCGGAAGTCATGCCTGTAGACTCACCATTGAGTCCTCTTAGCCCACTCGGAAACGACGAAAACTACCAGCCTAGCACACTTGCAAGTGAATTCGAACGGGTAGAAAGCCTTTCGCCTTCTATAGAGATCCGCAGTAGCAGTACACTGGATGAGCCGATCCCAAAGGCCATAACGAGACCACGCGGCAACTCCTTCTACTACATCGAAGATAGAAAAGTCCGGCTAGACTTCCGCCAGGCGAGCGAACCTCGATTACATCCTGGGATGCTTCCGAAGCTCCATACCCTCGTTTTAACTGATATACCCACCATGACTAGCGATAGGAAAATTATTCATCGGATTATCCAGTTCATCAAGGACGCAGCTGAAGAAGCTTCGATTGCTAAGCAACGGGCCAGGCACACCTATGTGCTACCGCCAGGACGTAGGCGTGCCATCGCAGAAGAAGAGTACGCACGAAACCAGTTTGCCCTTCGGAGAGTAGTACTTGAAATGGCGGCTCCGCAGTCAGCGCCTAAAAAGATCTCCAGTAGCTGGCGGGCTTATCCAACAAAGTCGACTACTGAAGATGCGGACTCTGAAGCATTTTGGGAGGCAGCAACGCATGATTTCTCCTTCTTCGACGATGAGGAGTGCGGACAGCCCGGTCGTGAGCCTGGCCGCACTCTGCCCTTGGCAGCTATGAGCGGATTAGAGCTTGCGCCTAGCAACCCCGTCTCACCAGTAGACACAAGTAAGGCTGTTCATGATACAATTCCGCTCCTCGATGTTGTGAGTGAGATTGGCAAGTTTCGGCGAGAAAGGAAGGCCGCATACAATAACTTAGTGGAGATGGGCGAGGCTGAACCCGATGTAGAGGGGTACTGGCCTGGGGATATTACGGTTCTGAGGAAGCCGGTGAACTCAGAAGCTGGGGAACTCGACTGTTACGGCAACCGGTATGAATTGGGTTGGTTCTACCGTTGAACGCGATGGCGTGGCGCAGCACTAGCCCAGGACAACGCTTTTACTTACCGAAGTCACTCAGTAGGCTGATCGGCTGTCATGGCGTATGTCTGAGTGTACTAGAGACTTTTCCCAGTCTTCTTGCAAGTATCCAGTCCTTCAGGGTGGAGAACCAATTACCGACAAGCTTACTCACCGGTTTCGTGACCGGTTCCAAGGGTTGCAGTGGGCTGACCCCGCGCACAATGACACCCTCATTTACACACATCTGCCCACTTGTGCAACTGCTCTCGAGTTATTACTCATTTATGCTGTTCATGGGTGCCAGAGCACCGCCCGCCACGACGTGACTGCAGACCTTATCCCAGTCTTGGTGCACCGCCACGCAAAGATTTCGTACGCTTATCGCAAGTACTTTGTTCTACTGATACTGGCGCTCAAGCAGCATCGAATTACTTTCAATAACGTTCATCATTCTTCTCCGATTTCTTACCACTTCTTCGTACATCAGGTACAACCATGGGCCAGTCATGGAGCAGCCAGCGAACGATCCAAGCAGCCTATGAGCGACGTGGAAAGAAAGTCGCCTTGAAATCAAGACGACCGAAGGACAGAACAAATTACGATGGGAGCGATTATCTCTCGTCTGACGCTGACGCATCCGAACGGCATCGGTACAGCCAGAGAACATCTAATGGCGTGACGGCCAAACCTAGACGCAGAGATAACAAAGCGGCTTCTTCGCATGCATCGTACCCTACCCACACAAAACCCATAGAGAAAACCAGGAAACAGCGCCCGTCAACATCCGATGTACATCGGGCCCAAAAAGAAGGTACAAAGAAACCAAAGTCCAGCCAAACTCACAGCAAAAGAGTCCAAGGCAGCAGTACAAAGCACAAGTCACTCAATCGAGTAGACAGCCACCATCACCACGACGATGAGCATCAACCCAAGAAAGAAAAGAAAGAATGCGCAGTTTGTACAGATGCACTTTCACTACACCACTTCCCCGACCGGCCGCCCACCAAAAACTGCAAGCACGGAGTCGACGTATGCCGAAAGTGTCTTCGCACATGGATCGCATCTGAGTCGAGCGCGAAAATGTGGAACGAAATAACATGCCCTACATGTAAAACGCAACTGCAAATAGCAGATATGAGAGACTTTGCGCCCAAAGATGTGTTCAAGCGGTGGGTTCTCTCCTCTCCCAAGACAATCTACCCTCATACACCCCTGCTAATGGATACCTTAGCTACAGCACCATCTCCTCCCGCGCAAAACAAGAAGCTCGCCTTGGCTTCCACTGGTGCAATCTGAAGGGTTGCAAAGCAGGACAAGTCCACTTACCCAACACACCCAAGTTCCGGTGCAACACCTGCGAAAAGACGTCTTGTGTTGTTCATAACGTGGCATGGCATAAGGGAGAGACATGTGCGGAGTACGATTATAGGACGAATGGAAAGCTGAAGAAGGAAGAGGAAGAGGCGAGTAGGAAGGTGGTGGAGAAAACGACGAAGGCGTGCCCGGGGTGTAAGAGGCCGATCGAGAAGAACAAGGGGTGTGATCATATGGAGTGTAAGTCTAGTTATCGTTTGTCGACACAGGCCGTATTTGAAGAGGCTAATTTGATTGACAGGTGCGAAATGCCATGTTCACTTTTGCTGGAAATGTTTGAAGCCGTATAATGCGTCGAACACGCTTGCGCGCAACACTAGAGAGTATTGTCTTTGTCATGGGATTAATGAGGGCTGATTTACTATACGCGGCGGGCTGAAAAGACAGTATTTGCGAAGCCGACAACAAGGAAAGAAACTATTACACCGTTTTCGCACATTTTACACATTCAACTGCATCAGCAGCGCTGGTAGCCCAGCACGCGCCATGTACGCAGCAGTCACCCCCACAATCGATGTCAAGACCATGTACTTGAACCAAACACCCTTCTTCCCTTTCCTCATCTCTTGCGTCTCCATCCAATGCCATCCCTCCGCGCTCTCATCAATCGTTCTCGTCGGCGCATAATCTAGTTTGGGCGCTACACTCAACGACTCGATGAGCGCTTTTCCCCCAGATTGCATAATGTACTTGTGTAAGTACCCAGCAAAGAAGTGATCAAAGTATGACTGGTGGCTGTTCATGCGCGTAAGCTTGCCACTGGTTTCGACATATTCCTTTGCTCGTGCGTAGCGACCGGCTTGGTATTCGGCGAACAAGGCGGCGAGATCGGGGGTGGAAATGCGGCGAGTGGGATTGGAGGCGAATTCGCGGTGGAGGATGTTGCAGAGGTGGATGGCAGACTCGACGGCTATGTTGGCGCCCATGCCGAGGTCGGCTGTCATCTGCTACTGCGTTAGCGATGCACTTTGGTGTTGATGGGTTTGAGAGGTGTACTTTGTGTGCTGAGTCGCCCACTAGGACTATGCGCCCGGCATGCCATTTACTGAGGACCCCTTCTTCGATATAGAGAAGACCGTGTCGCTGGTTTGTCTTCCATACATCACCCAGAGTGATATTGTTCGTCATAGGAAGATCGGCGAATCTCTCCGCCACCGCCTCAATCTCTGCTTCAGTAGCTTTACCTTTATGCTCTGCCTTTTGAAATTCGTCTTTGAAGGTGACACCCCACATAGCCTTGTCCATCTGCGAAAATAGAAGCATGGTAACGTCCTGACCGAGAATCATATGGGTATTGGAGTTACCGAGTTGAGCATTGTCTGGAGCCGTGCTGACGCCGAACAAACCTCTGTATTCTCCGAACGACATTACCTCTTTGTCGATTTCGGGTATGCTGCCCGGTTCGAATTTGTCGGCGTAGTCCCACATGAGCTTCCGAACATGACTGTGCACACCGTCTGCGCCGATGACCATGTCTCCTTCTTCGATAGAGCCATCGGCTAGGTGAACACGAACACCCGTGTCAGTTTGCTCGATACGTTCAAGGCGCCTGCTGGTGTGAATCTTGGACTTATCCGGCAGCCCTTCGTATAGATGCGACACACAAGTTTGGCGATCGAACAGGATGCTAGGTATTTTGAAGCTGCCGTGGGGTCAGCGCGTGATTCGTCCACTTCATACATATCTCAGGTATGGCAACGTACAGTCTGCTCACAGTCTGCATAGTATCATCGCGGCAGATCAAACTTCCGTCTGGCCATCGTTTGTAAGAGTTTTCGACGGGCGCCGTAGTCTTGGTGATTCTGTCGAGAATACCAAACTGGTCAAAGATGCGTGCGACAGCCGGCCAAACAATTAGTGCTGCGCCTTTTATTGAAACAATCTTGTCGTGCTTTTCGAGGACGACATGTTCGATATTGGCTAGTTGTAGAGCGTGTGAGAGCGACAAGCCGACAATACCTGCCCCAATGACGATGACCCGAAATGGCTTTGGAGATGTGGAATCTTTGTCTGCCATAATGAATTGCGATGCTGATGCAAGGGTTGCGCTGGGAAACCTTGGCTCTTAGGTCCGAGGCCTAGAGCAAGGGATGGTCGTGACTCGAATCACTGCCGGCTTTACTATTGTTCTCGCATGACGCCTGTTGGGCCATTTGATTTAGCCTGCTACTATATGAGCCGTGTTGGGGTACGTCAAAACAGTTATGATTTGCAAGTATCGGGTGGTGCCACAAGGGAGGCGTCCTAGGCTGTTGGCGTATCTCGGTTTCGATGATGCTGACACGAGCACCTTGCAAGCACCTCGGGCGTTTTCTTACTTTGTAGACGAGTCATATCGTAGGGCTTGCGCACCGTATTCTATGTCTTGAATATAGTACAGTCAGATCAGCTGGACATGATCCAAGCGTTGTCGATCTGGTGGTGTGGTAGTGACGATGTTGTTTGTACAGCGTCGCGCCTACATAGTCAATATGGAAGCAGCCTTACGCGGGAGATGCGCGATAAGCATCGAACTTGCTGCAGTGGAAGACAACAATATACCCCATCAAAACGACGGTTGCAAAATGTTTGTACTCCTCTCCGATGATGGTACGAAGCGCAATGTGAGTAGGCGTGGAATGATCGGCAAATGAATACTTTGGAACTTGTTGTTAACGTAGTAGCCAGGGTGAATTGGTGGATTGGTAGCACTGCTTAGGTGATGGAGTTGCCGAACAAGGCCGCAATGACTGTGTCCATGCAGGAACCAGCTCGCTTGTGACGTCGAAAACCTGGGGTAGTGGGATCTGCAGCCCTGGCCCGACACAAGACGTAGTGTGGTACTCAGATGTCTCCGGCTGCGCGATTCATGAAATGAAGTTGAATGCGAACCTGATCTGGTGATGTCTGTGAATTGGTTTACATTTCACTATGCGAAAGTGGGCTCAGTAAACCTTGTAGATGGCTCAGTGAAATGGAGAGAACTCCGACAGCACGTGAGGGTCGAACTCGGGAAACACCTGTTGTGATAGCCACTAACGTCGGCAGAGACGACTGGATTGCCGAGCTTGGTAGTGACGGATCGGCCTTGAAACGAGGCGGTAGGGTGCAGTGAACGGGAGCTGCGACGAACTGCCTGGGTAGCCCACATGTTGCTTGGCACACTAGCCGCATTGGCCGACCCCAGCTTGCACCTTCAAGCAGGCGCATCACGGTATCGCGCCTGTCTCGCAGCCAACGCCCCTCCGCCCATCGCCCACCGCTGGCTCCCGAATCGATGAACACGGTGCACTCGATTTGCCGGGTGAATACGCGCTTGCCGTAGCTTGCACCTGACAGGACCGGCGCCGGCGCGTCATTTCGCGATCGCCCAACCTCACCCTTGCGGGTCTCTGGACACATTCGCACTTTCTACATGGCGCCTGTTCCTGACACACCACTACCACGCGTGAGAAGCACACGACCGCCCCGGCGACACATATCTGACTCGGCGCCAGCTAGCAAGCGGCGCAAGTACGTTCCAGGCGGACCAGGAGGCGGGGGACGATACGTGGATGACGAGGGGCTGGAGACGCCCGTAGGAGGAACTGGACCCGGAGGATACGCGTATACTGGTCCCCGGGGCCGTGTAGGACGCATCAACGCCGAGCGGCAGGGCCTGCCCATATCAGCGCCGTCGCCCTCATACACCAGACCCCGACGCGAAAGGCCGCCAGCTGGACCGCGTTCCAGTTCGGCCGCCGCAGTTGCCGCCGCCGTGGCTCAAAACGATGGATACAAGCCGCGCGAGGAGCGGAGCTGGGATGAATTTCATCCGGACCTGGACATCGACGCCGAGTTCCCCGTCTTCAGCGCAGACCAGATAGATGGCATCAGCCCTGCAGACAGCGCCCCGGGGACTCCGCTCAATGGCTCATCGACGGGCCAGTACGCCGTCGACAGCGGTCTCTCCGCGGTTCTTGACGGCCTACGGGCGCAACAAGCAGAGAATGTCGCGCAAGAGCAGGAGGACGCAAGCTTAGCCGTCAACGGCTCAGGCGCCTTCGTCACACCAAAGCGACGCCCAGGTCGACCGCCTCGCAACCGAGACTCTATGCTAGCTGGGCTCGGATCGCCGCCCCGGCCACGAGTCAACCCCCTTCCGACTATGAATCCGAGGGAAAAGTTGAATCTGCCCAAGCCATCAGTGCGTCAAGTCGATCCGTTCAAAGAACACGAAGAAAGCGAGGGCGTCAAGGTCAACTATGTCGACAAGACCATGGCGAACATCGGATACCAAGAGAGCGAGATCTTCACAAGGCCATCGGAAAACAGCCTCATTAGGCTACCAGAAGGCTCTATCGAAGAAGATCTGGATCTCACACTGCAGACAGAGGCTGAAGGTACTGCAGGCGCAGTTGCTGTAGGTCGCGTCGAGTACGACATGGATGAGCAAGACGACCGGTGGCTGGAAGCACTCAATGTGCAGCGAAAAGAAGAGGGTGTCGAAGGCATCAAGCCTGCGATATTCGAAGTAACCATCACCCAGATCGAGAAGGAGTGGCACGCGCTGGAAAAGCGTAAGTTTTGTGGTGCTTGACGAAAGGGACGTAACAGCTGACATGTGAAAGGCATACCCAAACCCAACCCGAAGCCACCTCAGACACATCGACCACGCTCGAGCAGTGCAGCTGCTGTCAACGGAGAGCCTGCTGGCCAAGGCGAAGAGCAAGATACAAAGTGCGCCATCTGCGATGACGGCGACTGCGAGAACACAAATGCAATAGTATTCTGCGATGGTTGCGACTTAGCCGTCCATCAAGAGTGCTACGGCGTGCCTTTTATCCCCGAAGGACAATGGCTGTGCAGACGATGTCAATTAGTGGGGCGCGGCACCCCTGTCAGCGAGCTTCCGGTATGACCTGATCCTACCTGCTTTACCAAATGCATGCTGACGCTCACAGGGTTGCATATTCTGTCCGAATATAGACGGTGCGTTCAAACAGACCACTACAATGAAGTGGGCGCATCTGCTGTGCGCCATGTGGATACCAGAGGTATCATTGGGCAATGCGACGTTCCAAGAGCCAGTTCAAGATGTTGAGAAGGTACCCAAGACTAGGTGGAAACTGGTAAGTGATCAAGATTCCTCATTATTCGAGTGGCGCATTAATTGCTTTACAGTCTTGCTACATCTGCAAACAGAAGATGGGGGCCTGTATACAATGCGGCCACAAGTCCTGTTTCGAAGCTTTCCACGTCACATGTGCACGGAGGGCTAGACTATGCCTGCGCATGAAGTCTTCACAATCGTCGAACCCGCAGGATACGACTGTGCTCAAAGCCTATTGCGATCGACACACTCCGTCCGACTGGAAGCGTGAATTCGATGTTGAGAGTGCAATCGCAGATGCGAAGGCCTTCTACCGCCACACCATGCGTCACATTCGCTGGCCGGACAGCCAAGCTTATGCCCTTTCCATTGGATCTTCGCACGCGATGCCTTCCATTGAAGGGCCGGATGACGACACCCCTGGATCCAACAAGCGAAAACGTGGACAATCTACAAAGTCTTGGAGACTGCCATCTGGAGCTCCGGTCGTGCCCCAGGCTGTCTACCACAACGTTGAAAACACGCTGATCAAGTTTAATGTACGTAAACGTAAGGAGTTCGTGCAGGAAGCCTGCAAGTACTGGACGCTCAAGCGCGAGGCACGACGAGGTGCGGCCCTTCTCAAGCGTCTTCAGCTCCAAATGGAGGCCTTCTCTTCTATGGAGATCACTCGCCGCAACTTTGCAGGCATGGGAGCAGCTGGCAGACCCCGACTCCAACGACGCATTGAGTTTGCAGAACGTCTTGAAGATGACATGGAGCAAATCCGTGTCCTCTGCGAGATGGTCAAACAGCGAGAAGCTGAGAAGCTCAAGGACGTCTTGATACTGCAGCAGATCGTCGATTGCATCTACTTCCCAATACCTCAGTTACTGCAGCCTATCCTGGTGCGAGCACAAACGTAAGTAATCCGCCTCTAGAACTTGAATCCTCACTAACTTTGCATTAGACTTGATAGTAGAGGCTACTTCAGCGACGGATTCAACAAGCTTCAGATCAAGCTCGACGAGAAATACTACACTTCGGTGCAGACATTCAACGACGATGTGGCCGCGGTCTTGAGTGCTGAGCTTGGATCTGCCGCTGTCCCCAACGTTGGCGATGCTGAAGATCAGCTGAACAGGAGTGCGCACAGCAGTCTGAGCTCTGAGCAGAAGGAATTGAAGAAAGTCGTTAAGCGAATCACCAAAAGCCTACAACCTTATTTTGAAGATGCGATCCGCAAGGAGTCTGAGCTGGCTGGCCGGCCTTACGAAAAACTTCCGGACCTGGAGACGCTCCTCAACCAGAAGCTGCAACGCAGGCCGAGCATCCTGTCTCACGACGAGACTGTGCGACAGACGACGGAGTCCGACCCAACAACTATTGAAGAAGCTCAGGAAATTGCAGTTGATGGGGAAGAAGCTGCTGTGCTCACTCAGAAACCAGAGGAGATGCAGCTTGCGCCCACGCCTGACGAGAACGCCGCAGACGCACATCACGCACAACATGCACATGACGAGGCAGCAGACGAGGCGGCCATCGCCATTCAACTCGGCCAAGATCCTCTTCACGTGTCCAGCGGCCAGCCCGAGAACGCAGTGGTGGAAGCCCGTGTGGAGACCAATGGCCGACCCGAGCCTCTCACGCCTCCAAGATCCGAGAAGAACTTACTCAACCCTCTGGGTAATGGCGGTGTTCCCTGGTACTTTGAGCACTTCGATGTGCATGGCACTACCGTGTACGAAGAACGGTACACCGGTCGTGAGGTACTCCGAGACATGAGCGAGGAGCTTAGCGAGCTAGACGACGACGAACTCGACGGCCTGGCCGACTCTGATCCAGTTCGGCCCACAGACACACCCGAGTCCAATGTCGCCGCCATTAAGAAAGCGGTAGCGCGCAAGAGGCAGAAGAGATCGAGGGGATGGTAGATTACTGGGTTCACGTTTCTTTTATCCTTTTCT